TACTTTAGCTCTATATATGCGTGTTATGACCACCAAAATTTTGAGAAAATACCAGAAACCCAAAACCACACGCTCTGACCTAAAAATATACTAGCTGGATTTTGAATCAGTCTAGAACACAAGTTTGATCCAAAATCATACTATGACCGAACCAGGAACCTATTTGCTACCTTTAGGCTTGCACGTGACCGAACTAGGAACCTGTTTGATCAATAACCGAGCTAAAAACCTTGAGCTCATCCTGCCTTACGGCCGAACTAGGAATGGACTGTAACCCAGTAGTAGCCGATCTAGGGTTATGTTATTTTGCCTTTTTGCTTAGCCCGGTCCAGTCATCTAGGCATAACACTTTTTATTTCCACTTTGTAGACTTGACTAGATTGGCCAGGCACACCTTGCACTTTGTTCCTTGGTCCCATTACTCAATCGAGCCATCCAAAGTCACATCAGCGCTGAGCTAGGCTGCCGTGCTCATTTTTACACAACTTTTAAGTTTAATGGGTAAATATTGATTCATGGTAAACTCGCCTGGGGCCATGGCCAAATTCCGAAAAGATTACCATATCCCTGATGACGTCACCTCTCCTTAGCTGAGCTAGACACCACGCCCTAGGGCAAACCGGGCTTCGTCCCATTCATAGTGATATCGATTGTAGAAGTCGGACTCCGGTTCCCTATACAGCTCCTTATATGTGAGTTCCTTAGGCAAACAAGATTGTGTCCAACCCAACTCTCCACAAATACTTACAAAATAATAAATGGTATCGCCAAGCTAAATTGCTGGCTCAGCCTCAATCTCGAATTGGCCGAGCTATTACATCAATATTCACTCAGCCAAAATGACGACGGTTGGGTGTACTACCTTAGAGTAAGAAGAGGCTGAGAAAAAATTATAAAAAACACACAGGACAAAGACTTAAACGATGACGATTTCTTCTGGGTTTCTGAAAATTTTAAAGATCAGGAAGCCTAGATACCGAGCTATAATATAAACTGGAATAAAGGGACTGCTAGTAAGAACACTTCGATTCAATTTTTCTTTGTTGTTCCAATTAACCACCGTGCTAACCCATTATGTTCCTTGTCTTTCTTTTCTACAGATTTAAACCAGCATAAATTACATTATACTTACGCCAATCAAGACGCCTTTCGTGCCACATTTCGATACCGCCACCGCAATTGGACCGAGCTACTAAACTTCGAGCAGACCTATTAGTATAGCGGAAAAAGAAAGATGAGGGTTACTAACTTTTTTGTCGAACCATCACCTGAACCAGACCCAAACCTACCCCAAATCAACCTCATTCCTCTTACTGAAGAGCAATAAATGGCCAAGTGACAAGCTGTCCGTGCCCTAATCACCGAGCAAACCACAGTTCCCACTGCCGAGGTTCAAACCGAGGCACCACAGGCCGGTCAATCACACGAGGCTGTGGTGGCCCTCCCCACTACCCTAGCTTCATCATCTCGGCCAAACAAACGGCCCCGTACCAGTTCTGCCCCACAATGCCTGAGAGACTAGGATAACACTGAGCCGCCGAAAAATCGAAATGCCAGAAGCAACTTTGGCCCAAGGTCGCAGCCGATTAAGCCCTTCAAATCCTTCATCCTCTTCGGTGTGGACACCAATTGTGTCCTTCAAGGGTCGTGCAGTAACAGCCTCTGACTCTGTTAGTGCTGAGAAGGACCACTTTCTAGCCTTTAACTTAGCAAATAGCGTTTGTCTTCCTACTGACATGGAATAGCACAAGGGTTTGACTGAGCTGAAGGCAATCCGCTCTGCGTCTAAGTCTATGATACAGGCAAACTATAAAATCCCTGTAACCTAATAATTGATACCATTATGGACCCACTGCTTGGTTTTAAGTCACCGCTTTGAATGTTTGTGCAGGCCCTCCAAAAGAGCCAAGTGGCTCACAAGCGTGTCCTTGAGCTGCGGAAGACGGCTCAGTCGGCTGTCGCTCATGCCGATGCTAAAGCGGCCGAACTGAAAGAGGCTAAGGCTAAGCTGACTGAGCTGGAATCAGAGAATGCACAGTTGGCCGGACTGGTCAACTCGGCAGAAGCAAACAAGCAAAAAGCTTTAGCTGAGAAGAAATATCGCTATCTGCGAGAGTTCGCGAAGCTGGAGAGGAAGAAAGACGCCGAAATAAAAGCGTTACAAAAGCAGTTGGAGGAGGCTTGAGGATCGTGGGTTTAAAGAAGGTGCGGAGCTCTACGTTCAACAATGTGAGGCGTCAAAGGATATTTTCTATAAATGTGGGTGGAAGGCCGCGGCAGCCAAGCTCGGTTAGGGGCCTGATTCTGAGGTCTTTCTGAACCTTCCCGCTTACTTTATATCGAGCTATATGACGGACTACGCCAATGCGATCCAGCAAAAGTTTCTCCAAGAGGGGGAGGAAGAAGAGACCCCAGAACCATCCAACGCCCCTCCTGTCAACACTGACCACAATCTTCAGCTTTCAACACTAGCTCGGGTGGATCCGTTCAGCCAGCCTGTGCCAAGCACGGTTGACATAGAGCCTGAGATCGAGCTAACCCAAGAGGTAGCTATCCAAACCGGCCTAACTAGCGGCGAAACCTAGGTTAACTTGGATGCCTTGGATGATCTCTTTGCCTGACTTCTTTTCCTTTTTTTGTTTTTTCTCTACGAAGATGTAACCGGGATCCAAGCCCCTCCTCTTATACTTAATTTCAAATGAATGAAAAAAACTTTGCATATGTTTGTTCGGTTTACTTGCTTTTTAGTGTATCAGTTTTGCTGTATGCTCAATCGGCCTAGTTAGCTCGGTTATGCTTTTATCATGCCCACCTTTGTTTGGCCGAGATACATATCCTGGCTAAAACACAGCTTTGGGAGACTTCAAAACTTTTATAACCGAGATGTGCGCCTAGATTATTATCTTGGCTAAAAGAAAAAAGTTTATATTAAAGATGCAATCTTTACTAGACCCTAGACCCTTATCTCGGTTAAAGAACGAACTAACTAAAATCACCTGCCAACCTTCTTGGGCCTAGATCCTTATCTCAGCTGAAGAAGAGAACTAAGTGTTGGTCAAACCTGCCAACCTCCTTGAGCCTAGATCCTTATCTTGGCTAAAGAAGAAAAAGTGTTAGTCACACCTGCTAACCTTCTTGGGTTTAGATCCTTATCTCGGCTAAAGAAGAAAAAGTGTTGGCAAAACCTGCCAACCATCTTGAGCCTAGATCCTTATCTCGGCTGAAGAAGAAAAAGTGTTGGTCAAACCTGCCAACCATCTTGAGCCTAGATCCTTATGCCGGTTAAAGAAGAAAACTAAGTGTTGGTCAAACCTGCCAACCTTTTTGGGCCTAGATTTTTATCTTGGCTGAAGAAAAGAACTAAGTGTTGGTCAAACCTGCCAACCTTCTTGGGCCTAGATCCTCATCTTGGCTAAAGAAGAAAAAGTGTTGGTAAAACCTGTCAACCATATTGAGCCTAGATCCTTATCTCAGCTGAAGAAGAAAAAGTGTTGGTCAAACCTGCAAACCATTTTGAGCCTAGATCCTTATCTCGGCTAAAAAAGAAAACTAAGTGTTGGTCAAGCCTGCCAACCTTCTTGGGCCTAGATCATTATCTCGACTGAAGAAGAAAAAGTGTTAGTCAAACCTGTTAACCTTCTCTATTGTCTTCAGTCGGCAATAAATATAAACAATTTTTACAAACAAAGAAAAGAATTTTGCTAGAAAAAAATCTACTTGTTTTATTGAAAAAGAAAAATTACAAGTCTGATTTAAGAAAAAGCTAAAAATAAAATAGTTTGAGATTGGCAGTGTTCCATGGCCTGGGAATAGTTTTGTTGTCCTTATCTTTCAAGTGATATGCCATTTTTCCTGCTAAACCAATCACTTTGTATGGTCATTCCCAATTAGGTCCTAACTTGCCATCTTCAGGTACTAAAGTGTTGCTCATTACTTTGCGCAGTACCTAATATCTAATCTTGAATTGCCTTGGGTGCACTGTTTTGTTATATTTCTTGGATAACTCTTGTTGGTATGAGGCAATGTGTACTAATGCCCTTTCTCTTCTTTCTTCTGCAAGGCCAAGTTCCAAGGTTATGGCCTCATCATTCAAGTTTGGATCAAAATTTTCGCTTCTAATAGTGGGGAGGCCTACTTCCAGTGGGATTACTACCTCCATGCCATAGGGCAAGGAAAAAGGTGTTTCGCCGGTCGATCGTCGAGGTGTAGTACGGTAAGCCCATAAAACATGGGGAAGTTCCTCAGCCTACTTGCCTTTTGCTTTTTCCAACCTCTTCTTTAGACCGTCTAAGACTACTTTGTTAGAAGCCTTAGCCTGGCAATTAACTTGGGGGTATGCTGGTGTGGAGTTATAGAACTCTATTTTGTATTCTTCGCAAAAGCCCCCCAAAGATTTTGCCTTCGAACTGAGTGCTGTTGTCGGATATTAAAGCCTTGGGTATGCCGAACCGAGTTATGATGTTCTGCCAGACGAACTTCTTGACATCCTTTTCTTTTATGGATGCGAGTGCTTCTGCCTCTACCTACTTTGTGAAATAATCCGTTGCTGCGAGAATGAACTTTCTGTTGCCAGGCGCAGTTGGGAGTGGTCCTACTATATCCAAGCCCCACATTGCAAAGGGCCACGGGTTAGTCAATGGTAGAAGCTCTCTGGCTGGTTGATGTATTTAGTGTGCAAACTTCTATCATTTTTCGCACTTCTTGACATATTTCTCTGAACTTGCTTACATGTATGGCCATCAATACTCTTGTAAAATTGCTTGGTAAACCAGCGACCTTCCCCTTTGGTGGCTTCCGTAAACACCTCCGTGTATTTCGAACAAAAGTGCCACGACCTTGCTGGGATGGACACACTTTAAGTAAGGTCCTGTGAAGAACTTTTTGTATAATGCTAGTGATGGGGAGAGTCAAAATCGCTGTGACTTTGTTCGAATTTTGTTGGTTTTTTTATTTTCTTCAGGTACGATGCCACTTTTTATAAATACTATGATGGGGTTTATTTAGGAAGGGCCTAGCTCGGCACAACATACTTCGGCTGCTTCGAGTTCTTTAATACTTGGTCTGGGTATGAAGTCAATCAACAATGGGTGTGGGATAAATGTATCTGTCATTGACACAAAACCAGCTAGTTTATCTGCTTTACTATCTGCTTTACTATTTTTCTCCCGGCTAATTTGCTCTATTTGGACTACGTCAAACTTTATGATCTCCTTTCTGACCAAGTCTTGGTACTTAGCCATCCTATTAACCTTTGCCTCATAGTCGCTTGAAATCTGGTTGACTACCAGTTGGGAGTCACTGTATACCATAAACTCGGTGGCCTTCATGCGAAGTACCAATTTCAAACCTGCTAGTAATGCCTCATACTCCGTCTCGTTGTTGGATGCTGGGAAGCCAAGGTTGACTACCTGTTCAATTATTAGGCTATCCGGTGAGATGAGGACTATGCCCAGTCCTGCGCCGTGCCTGTTGGATGCTCCATCTACAAAGAGTTTTCACATCTCTCCGACGAATAGCTTCTAGTAAGTAGAGGGGTCTGATGATGTCTTGGGATTAGGGGCGTTGTTGATGCCTTCATCCAGGTTTATGTCTGCCGTTGGGCTTTGATCCTCACTATCTGACTGTCTCAAGACTCTTCTTCTGGGTGAGTCCTCGCTGGCAATGTTGTGGTCAGTTCCTTCTTCTCTCTTTTTAGGCCTAAATGGCTTGCTATGCTGTTGGGCGTCCTGCTTTGAGGGCTGTACAATTCCTTTAGCAATTTCCCTTCTTCTTAGGGTTGCCCTGGTCAAGTCGATCGGGCAAACATGATGACTTCTTGGCATGAACTTGACCACGAAGTCTGTCAATGCTTGGGCCTTTATTGTTGTACTCGGTTGAAACTTAATGTCAAATTGCGCCAACTCCATTGCCCATTTCAAAATTCTTCCAAAAAATCTGCCCTTTCAAACAAGGCTTTTAAGGAGAAGGCTGTTAGGATAATCACGGTGTGGGCATAGAAGTAGTGCGACAATTTTCTTGAGGCCATCATCAAGGCTAAGACCAACATTTCCAATGGCAGGTATCTTGTTTCAGCGCCCAGTAATGTCTTGCTTACATAAAAGATTGGCAAGTGTTGTATTCCTTCAACTCTCACCAACATCGCGTTAATTGTATGCTGGGAAACAGCTAAGTAAACAACAACTCTTCTCCTAATACTGGGGTTACTAACAATGGAGGAGAGGTCATGTAGTCTTTCAAGCTTTCCAAGGCGCGGTCATACTCATCATTCCACTCAAACTTGGCCTTTAGTGCCTGGAAGAATGGTCGACACCTGTCTGACGACCGACTTGTGAACTGGTTGAGCGCGGCTGCTAAGCAAGTGAGATGCTGCACCTCTTTGACTGTGTTGGGCCACTCGAGATCTTGGATGGCTTTGATCTAAGAGGGATCAGCTTCTATACCCCGGTTGGTCACTAGAAAGCCTAGGAATTTGCCTGGCCTTACGCCGAATGCGCACTTAGATGCGTTCAGACGCAACTTGTAGGACTTCAAAATTTGAAACATTTCATCTAGGTCCCTGAGATGGTCCCCCTTATCTCTGCTTTTTACCACCATGTCATCTATGTAAGCCTTCACTGTTCTGCCTAACAATGGTTCAAACATTTTAGTGATCATTCGTTAGAATGTAGCCCCTGTGTTCTTTAGGCCAAAAGGCATGACCTTGTAGCAGTATAGTCATCTGGGTGTTGTAAATGACGTGACCTCCTAATCCGGTTCATACATAGCGATCTGATGGTAACTACGATACGCATCCAGAAAGCTAAGTCGGTTATGCCCTGCTGTTAGGTCTACCAGCTGGTCTATTCGTGGTAGGGGAAGCTGTCCTTCGGGCATGCTTTGTTGACTGTTTTGTAGTCTATGCAAACGGGTTGTTTGTCGTTCTTTTTTGGCACCACTACAGTGTTGGAAATCCACCTGGGATAGTGTACTTCTCTGATTGCTCCTGCCTCCAGCAAGTTTCCCACTTCCTCCGCCACTATCTCTGCGTGGTGGAGTGCCGATCGGCAAGTTCGCTGTATAACTGGTCTGGCAGTTGGATGGACATTAAGTTAATGGTAGATGAAATTAGGGTCAATGCTAGGCATGTCATACGGCGTCTAGGTGAACACTTCAATGTTAGAGGTCAAAAATTCCATGACATCTATTCTCTCGGTGCTGGACAGAGATGAGCCGAGCAAGAAAAACTTTTCTGGATTCTTTTCATCTATCCTTACCTCTACCAAGTCTTCCACTGTCTTCTGTTCGGCTATTTTGCCAATGTTTGTGAACAGTTCGTGGCTTTCTGGCTCTTCTACCATCTATACAAACCCTTTTACAGCCCGGCTACCATTTACTGTGACAAAACACTGTTGTGACATGATTTGGTCCCCTAAGACTTCTTAAATCACTCCGGTTTCATTGGGGAACTGTAACACCTGATGGTAGGTTGATGCCACCGACCGCTTGGCGTGCAACCATGCTATTCCCAAGATTATTTTGTAGGTGGAAAGGATTTTCAATACCCAAAATTCCACTTGTTTCGTCATTATTCCTACCTTGACTAGCAGAATTATCTTGCCCACCGACTACTCTGGCATTGAGTTAAAGCCGACTAAAGGAGATGTTGTCGGTGCCAAGTCTCTGTCCTCTAATTTTAGTTGCTTGAAGGTTTCATAGTATATTATCTCACATGAGCTTCCTTGTTCTATTAGGATCCGTTTGATGTCGAAGTTTTTGACGCACAAAGTAACCACCAACGCGTCGTTGTGAGGGCATTGTAACCTTGCTAGGTCCTTGTCAGAAAAAGGAGATGATGTTCGCTGCCTCCGTTTTTTCCCTTTTGGTGGTAGATTGTGCACTTAGTACCTCTCTCAAGTGTTCAACTTTTTTGATCATCTCTCTAAGCTCACATACCCGCTAGGGTTCGATGATCCCATGTATCATATTGATTATACCTTGGGGTGGACCGTCGATCAGCATCCCATTCGGCCTATTGCGATCCTGGGGGCCTAGCTGTGTTCCCCCTCTCTATATACTGGTTCAAATGACTAGCGGCCACTAACTCCTCCAAATGTTGCCTTAACGGTGTATAATTTTTAGTTCGGTGCCCCTTTTCATCATGGAAGGTGCAACGGTACCTCTCGTCGTAGCCTCTTTGTGCTTCTCCCAACTTGGCTGGCCGCCGAACGAAGGGTTCGTTGCGTATCTCACTAAGAATCTGGTAGATAGGTTTGTTAAATACTGCGGTGATAGCCGTGTAGACTCTCAACTTCCTTGCTTGGGAGTCCTCTCTGTTGGTTCGTTTGCCTCGCCCATTCTTGCTCCGTTGTTCTTCTTGCTTGGCCGTGTTTACCTTTGCCGCAGGCTTTCTATCTGACAGCGTTGTTGTGCCAATTTTTGCTTTGGTGCGTGCGACATCTTCTTCTACTCAAATGTACTGATGCACTCTTTCCGCAGCGCCTCTAATCGTGGGGCATGAATTCATTATTGAAGCTTAAATATCCACTGCACCGTCTGCTTTGTATTGTGCAATAGCTAGGTTTGTGGGACAATCTCCAATCTGATTGAAAGTCTCCCAATACCGATTATTATAAGACTTTAATGTTTCCTTCTCGCCCATATCTATGGAGAGAAGTTGGTCAATCTCCACAGGCGTTTTTGTGTTTGTTTTGAATCTAGTTACAAATGCTTCTGCTAGTTGCGCTCATGAAGCTATGCTACCCTCTAGCAACCTTTCAAACCATGTCAGACCCAGGTCACCAAGACCGGAAAGGAATATGATACACATTAGAGCCTCATTTCACCGATACACCGCCATGAGCTGGCAGAAATGGCTTAAGTGCATGTAGGGGTCCGACTTTCCCTCATAAATAGTGAATTTGGGGTGGTGGAAGTTGAAGGGTAATGGTGCGTTCTCTATCGTCGGAACGAATGGTGAGCTTTGTAACCTTGCTAATGCTATGTCTGCCGGTTCATAGGCAAGGCGTGGCTCTGGCATTCCTACCTCGACACTCTCATGTATTCTAGGAGTCAACCGTCGTAGTGCAGAGACTCTACTGGGGTCGCTGGCCTGAGTGCCTTCTCTCCTTCGAGCCCTTTCCTTAAGCACTGTTCGCAGGTCTATCGACCTAGGCAGCTCCGTGTGCCTAGATGTCGTTTGGTGTGAATATAAAGGCTAATAACTGCTTCCTTCTATGTAAGACCTTTCAGTTCTCATTCTCTCAGACATGGAGTAACGAGTCCTAGAAGTTCTTGATTGTGTATCGCCTGTCCTTAGGCTTATGCTCTCCATGTGAGACAACGTGACTTGCCTGTCACAATCTTCTGAGTGGGGAGGGTGCGTCTTGCTCTTGCCCACCTTTTCTTCTGCCACATTTTTACCCTTTATCTGGCACTTCATTGTCTCCATATCTACCGCCATCCTCCGAATCAATTCATCTTGCTCCCTTACGCGATCCTCCAGAACCTAGGGATCCAACCTCCGCCTTTCAGGACTTGGGAGCGATGAGGACTGGAGCCCCGTCTTTCCGTGTATCCCTCCGGGGGTTCTGTCGCTAGGGGTCTAACTCTGCCTTGAGTAGGATAAAATGTAAGCCTTTGTGTCTCTCACCCCCCTCCGGGGTTTTCTTACTAATAGCAAATTGTGGTAAATCTTCATTGTGCGCCATTGAAATCAGTTGAAGGAAAACTTAATCAAGAGGTTTGTTCTTTGTGATTGCTTCCCATAGATGACGCCAATTGTATGAGCCCAAAATAATCTTCTCGTATAATCCTGTTGATCAAGTTTGCACTTCTTCAAACTTCATCGCTTTGTTACCTGAAAACACAAACGTGAGCTAGCCGGCGGATATGTGTCGAAAACCTTTTTGATTCCTAAGTCAGCAAATAGATAATAGACAAAATCTCTGTGTATTCGAGAGTAAAAATTGTGATACCTGCACATAGGTCTTGTCATGAGCTTTTATAGATTTCGCCTGGCACAATCCTAGTAGGACTTCAACTCTCTTGAGTAAAATCCTCCTAGGAATCATACTCTCAAGGATAATGCCTATCCTGATAATATCCTATTCACTACCAACCAAGTGAGATGGCTTAAACCCCTTTACCTTGGTTTCGTAACAGCTCAACTGAGCTAGCATGGTAGTGCCCTACGCCAGACTCAACCGTCCTCACACAGCTCGGTGCTACTTTATGCAACACCGTAAGTCTTTACTGTTTAGACGACGCCCTGTAGAGTTATCATACACCTCGGTCCTCTTTCCTCCGATACCTCAGTTCAAGATAGCTAGACCAAGCCACTGGTAGCCTACCTCTGACCAAACTGTTGGGATAAAGGACCAAGCTTCATTACCTCGGCCCGCAGCGCAACCCAATGACCAAGAGTGAACCTAGCTCGGTCCATTCAATAGATGGCCTTAGTTCAGCCTTATTTAGACATAAATTGTCCTCTCAACAAGGATGGAACCAGACTTTTGAGGTCGGGGGACATTAAATAGGAAAATGGATTTACAGTGGTGCTACAGTAATGCTCTAAACAAAGTTGATGAAAAATAAAAGTTTCAATGTAGTAGTGAATAATGCAAAGCTTAAAACAAAAACGAGAAATACTCAATGATATAAGTACATAATAACAGTGAAAAGATTATGGTGCACACTCTTCCTCTCCTATTATAAAAAAATAAAATAAAAATAAAAAGAAGTTGATATTTTTTGTGATATTAGTTACAAACAATTGTGATTATACTAAGCGCGCATCATAAAAAAATCTCAATTATGAACCATTATGGTTATATATAAAATGTTAAAATGTCACAAAAATTATTATGGTGAGAAAAATTATGAATCATTCTAATTTTATCACGAATCAATATTGTAAAATTATGAAAAA